CTGCTTTAGCAAATAGAATGTGGCCAAAGTAACGATGTGCCAGTTCTGAGCCTGGGCCTCTTTATATTCATTTTCTCAGAATCCTGCTTTTGCTATGAAAACAAGCCATACTAGCTTGCTGGAGGATGAGACAGCACTTGATTCTCAAGCCTATTTGTTCCAGGTAATATAATCCTAAACCAGTTTTCAGCCAGATACTTTCAATACATTTTAGAAACTCTAGACAAACTCAGCAGAACTTCCTGCACAACCACAGATACCATAGATACAGGAATGAGTCGAGCCAAGACCAGCAGACCCTCTCAGCAGACACACAAACTTGGGAGTAATGATAGATGCTTATTGTTTTGTGCCATCATGTTTTGGAGTGGCACATTGCATTGCAGTAGGTAACTGCTATACCACCCTAACAAATCTTCCCTGATGCAATATGGGTAGACACAAAGAAAAAAAGTGTACTTCCTACTGAAAATCAAACATAAACCCTTAGAATACAAACTGATTGCTGAAACTTTTCTTCTGAAAAATAGGCATTACCGAGGTTTATAATTATGAATATGATCTACCCTTATCAAAACAGTAAGCTTCTTTTTGGAGCGTTATACCTCTCTACTCTTCACAATCTCCACATTTTACTTTCCGCCAATTCTCTCTCCAGTGCTGCCAGGCAGCTCCTCTGCTTCATGAAATTTTCTGAAGATTCTTAAACTAAGTTGCTAAAAATTCAGTTTATTATCCCTCCCAGGAGGGTTATCATTGGAAAAGAAGGTAAAGGTTACCACTTATATTTTATTCACAGCATCTAAAACAGTTTTTGGTGCAGAGTATAAACACAAAAATATTTGTTAATGAATTAATGGATCTCTCTCCCTTACTACTCTTCCCTATTAAAACTGCTCTCCACTTTCAAAACTATTTCTAGTCTCTCTACCCCTCCCTAGATTCATAAAACTTAGTCTATTTTACTTGCCCTCTGAGTCATGCTATACCCTTTCAATGGCGAGTATACTAATGTCCTACTATTTACTACAATGGAGGTTAAAATCCTGGCTCTGCTACTGACTATATGTGACACTAGGAAAATTACTTATCCTTTCCATGCCCCAATTTTCTTATTACAAAATGATAATAAAAATATTGCATGTCTTAAGTAAGAGTAAATTAAATAATGTATGTAAAGTGCCTAAAAGGAACTTGTGACAAAGTACCCAAGGGAGGCCAGACATTTTTTAAATCTTGCCTGTTTTCATACAAAGATGATGCCAGCTATTCATTTCACCCTTGTTCTGTCCAGATTGCGACACTGATGGACAGTGACACATTTCTACCCATTGAATCCTCTACATTGTGCCTTTACTATCTTTTGAGCTCTCAATATCTAGAATCATCAAAGTGCATTTCAGACATTTTCTGCTCACATTGGGAAGAGCAGAAAACCCAAGTCCATTCCTTGTACTCTCAGCAGATAAATCTTGTCTTCTGAAGACCTGTGTATGTCATTCTCTCAGCCCAGAGGCCCTTAAGTATTATTTCCCTTGACCTCACTTCTAAATTTCCCTCCAGCTTCTCTCATCCTTGCTCATTTATCTCATCTAACAGAAGTATATATTCCTCTCTCACACTAACACTTCCATTCAATATTCCCATGCTCAACTATTTCTTCCTCCAGGATGTTGATCCATTTCTTTTTTAAATCAATTTCTCTTTCTCCACTGACTCTTTGCCCTTGGCCAATAAACTCTTCTGGCCTCTCCTGTCAGAAAAGTATTTTCACTTAGTCTGCCACTAAGGTTACTCATCTTCTTTCCTTTCAGCCACAGAATTCCAAAATAAAAAGGTGATTTAAATATAACACCTACCCACGTTTCTCTCTTATTTAGCACATGTACCAGCTGGCCCCAAACCCTTTTATGTCACATCTGATATGAATCTATTATGTTCTGTCAACATGATTTTTATACAATTGAAGAGCAAACAGAACTGTGATATCTTTTGCAATGAAAGAACCACCATTTAAAAAATAGTTGCCATTTTTAGATTCTGTGCTAAGCTCCTTGAATGTATTAACTCACTGAATCTTCACAACAATTCTATAATGTAGACAGTGAAAGCATGTCCATTTTACAAATAAATAAGGATGATGAACTTAATTTTTTCTCTTTTATTTGTTTGTGATCTTGGAGCTACAAGTTAACTGTCTAAGTATCAGTAGCTCAGGCACAAACTGTTAATCACCCATGTGCTAATTATGACTCTGATGATTGCTCTTTGACTCATGCTATCATACTACCAACACTGCTCTGTTGAAGGCCACCAAGGGCCTAACTCCAAAGGCCTCTTCCGTGTTCTATACCATAAGATTTCCTAAGGAACTTTTTTCTTATTCTACATACAGTATATATTGCTTTCCATCTAAATATAGATAACCCTTCCTTCATGGATTACTGTGTTTCACTCCTATGCTTTTCTCTCTCTTTCCCTGCCACCTTTATTGTAGCATATGTGCACATACTGTTATTTCCCTCCTATTAATTAGAATCTCTTTTAATTCTACTTCATCAGCCTAACTACCCTACCTTTCATTTTCACTTCCCATTGAAACAGAAGTCTATGTGTGCTAGTTCCACTTTCAAAGTTTTCATTCACTCTCCAACCCATTGAAATCTCAATTCTACAAGCATCCCATTTGAACCTGCTCTTTCCAAGGCCAACAAAAATCCCTAATTACAAATCCAATAAAACCTGTTCAGTTCTTATCTAACATGATCTCTCTGAATGTTTCATTGGCACTTTAAACTCAATAGACTTAAAAAATGAACTCATTGTTTTCTCCACCTGCCCCTCACCCTGCTTTACCTCCAAGTTTTTCTCTCATGTTTAACTAAATTTCTATTATTCTATTTTAGCAGGCTCAGGACCTCCTGTAGTTTTCTCCCTCATCTTTTTTTTATTCAACAATCATTTCATCCATCTCATTTCAACCTCAGCAAAAACATTCATTAGAGGTTCTTAATTCTGAATGCATGCCAGAATTACCTGTGGAACTATTTTAGAAATACCTTTACACAGACCCTAATCCCAAACCAATTTAGAGAATCTCAGAGAGTTGGTTGGGAATGGGTATTTTTTAAGGCTTCTCAAGTAACTGAAATTGTAACCAGGATTGAGAGTCATAGTTGCACATTTTCATCAGTCATATAGCCCAAACTCAGACTCTCAATAGCTCTCCCCTAGATTATTTTAATCCTTTCTAGTTTCTTTGCATGCCCACAACCTCTCTTCTTTAAGACTTTCACATACATTTTACTAAAATCTGTAAAACACAGCTTTACAGGACATGTACTGCCCTGCCATGTTCACATAACTTCTAGAATAAAATTCAATTGCTTTGCATAACAAAAAAAGTCCATCCAGGGAAATGCTTAAGGTACAGTGCATACCATTTAGTAACTTGCAATATATTGGAGAAAAATATTAAAAAATCAAAATAAACACAAAATGCTCATAAATCTTCTATGTACCCATTTTCCCATTGGTTAGGATAATGCCATAAAAACAGAGGGCATGGAGAAAAGTTGAAATAATTTGAAAGGCCATTTTTAAGACTAAGCTTCAGCTAACCCCAAAATTCAATCTAGTCAGACATGCTTGTGCCTAGTAGAAATTTAGTAACTGTCAGTTAATTGTCAGATAATTGTAATGTCTATACCACTTTTCTCAATCTCACAGAGTGCAAGCCAAAGCAATGAAAAGAAAACTGCAAGAAATCTAAATATATGCATTTCAATGTTCTCTTCCCAAAGCATGATTTGTATAAAACAAAGACAGTAAGGGAGGGAGGCAGGGAGGCAGGGAGGGAAGAAAGACCCTTACTTTGATTAAAAAAATAGTCGTGTTCCACCATGAGTTCTCTAGGTGAGCAGCAGAGTCAGAAGATGCTCAGTATACGTCTTTCCCAACTTTTCACTTTCTCTAAGCAGAGTGTCTGGTGTCATCCTAATTCTCCCCATTAAATTAGTGAGTCAAACTGAAAAAGGGCTGGATAATTGACAAATACAATTTCATTTCTTTGTTTCTTTGCATATATTGCTCTTTTGTACGGATACATTATGAATTGAGAAAATGAACAAAACTTTGAAAAGATCAAGTCTCACTTAATAACTCAATTAATTTCTATGCTATTGTTGATTATTATTGCAAGTCATAGTTGAATTGTATAGCACTGGTTGTAAATAGTGCAAGAATTGTTGAGGGAAATAAAGAACAAAATAATTCTGTTTTCTTCCTACCATTAAAAACAATACCATATTTGAAATCACATATAGTACCCTCTGATGTTAAAACTGGAAGTTTCTATTGTGTTAAGGCAACAAAAGTGTATATTAAAAAAGAGTAAATTAAAGCTGTAGGATGTTATTTCAAAACAGAGGACTTCAAAAGAATGACCATAAATCAGTCACCCATTGGCCCATACTCTCACAATATATTCTAATACATGTGCCAGCATATTACAATGGATGAATATATAACTTAAAAAGGATTACACACACGCACACACACACACACACAGTTCAGGCAAAACTGGTGGGATATGAATAACATCTGTATTGAATTAAGAATATTATACCAATGTCAATTTCCTGGCTTTGATAATGTTCTATGGTTTTATAAAACGTTATCACTGTGTAAGATGGGGAAAGTTTTCAAAGAAACCCTCTGTGCTATTTCTGTAGCTTGTGAATCTTAATCTATTTCAAAATATAACATGTTTTCTAAAAACTTTAAAGGTTAAATTATACTCACAGTTGTGATTTTGCTGAGTATTTTCATACATATTTTGAAAGATAAGGCATTATCTTTAACAATTTTCATAAAATGCATTTTACATATTGCTAGCAAATTATGCCAGTTGTGCTGATAGTCAAGATGGGCAAGTTGCACAAGTGTAAATGTATCTATTTCAATTGTATCCTGACAAAGAAGCAAGTCAAATAGTGGAATCTTGTGTAAATGGCAAAATTTGCCATGAATCTTTATTTAAAAAAAAAAAAGAATTTATGTCATCTTCCCCAGGAATTCAGAGGTCTTCCTGGATAATAACTAAAGTGCTTTTAAAATGAAACACAGAAAACAGATCTCTAAATGTAATTTATGAAAGAGAGCCCATTTTATATCCCAATTTTATTCACCTTTTCTGAATAGTCACAACATTAATCTACTGGGGATAATCTAATTAGTATATTTGAAATTCCATGTATTTTTTTCTATTGTATGCATGTATTACACTTGTATATAATACAGAGTTTCCAGTTGTTAAAGAACATAGTTTAAAAAATGAGAAGCATGATCTATAATCTCAAACAAACCTAGGACAAATTCATATTTTCCAAAAGGTATAGTTTTTCACTTGGTTACAAAGAAATTAATTTTATTCTAATTGATGCAGAAACTCCAGGACAATCATTATTCCTTTTTTATAATTTCATATAGTCTTGGGCCATTGTGAAAATCCACTCAAAACCATCTAGTTCATTTTATGAATAATTAAAATGGAGGCAAAATGTCAGTTAATTTCATGAACTTATGAGACAGTAGATTTTAGTTCAATGTGAGATGTAAACTTTTCAGATCTTATTTTTAACCAGTTTTACATTTCTAGCTCTTCTTCCCAGGAAAGTGTCTGAGTAGTATATTGGTCTTTGAATATTGTCAAGAACTAATAGACCGAAGTTCCTCAGTACATGTGGGCCTCCAGTCTGGAAACCAATGCATGTGTAATTGACCATGTTAGTGAGTTTTCAGAATACAAGATATTTCCATACCTTCTCTAACATGATGGAAATTCTAATAGGACAATTTCAGAAGCATCTTCTGGATAGTCTAAAATGAGTAAAACACAGAAATCCCTCTCTTGCATTCCTTCAAACTATAGGTTTACACAATATTGTTACAGAATGGCTATGCAATTCTCATTCTTCTCTCCCTTCATATCACAAATGAAACAAAATAAATGTAGTATAAAATTATACATTCTATAATAACTTAAAAAAAACCACATACATGTTTAAGGCCTTTAAATATTTATGACTTTCCTGTAAAACCAAAAACACAAATGTTCAAATGGCTACAAAAATGCCACAAAATACTGGCCTAACAAGTTGTTTGAATGGGAAAAGTGTAAGCAAATATTTATACATTCGAGACTGAGGAAAATGAACAATTTTTTCTATCAACAGATTGAACAAATATGTAAGCATTCAAACAGTCATTGGGAGCAAGCAAAAGAAAGTCTTTTAAAATGAGATAGTACAATTAAAAAAAAAACTAGAAAAAATCTAAGTGAATAATGTTCAAGCTAAGAAATCAGAAACTCACATGCATCCCTGGCAACTTTCTGAAACTGAAGTCTATCCAGTAACTTGACTGCTCACTGCTGATTTCTGTGAAGGGAATAAGTAAACATAAAAAAAAAATTAAAGAAAATCCCACTTAAAAAAAAGAAAACAGAAAGGGAGAGTGCTCTAGAGGTACAAAGTATTATATAATGAAAAGGGTAATCCAGTTCTAACTACTACCTATTTGACAAAGAGCTGCAGCAGGGTGTTGTTAGCCTTAGGGAAATATGTCAGCTTGTCTATACATTCTTATATGATTGATGTATTCAGATAACTATTACTTGCCAACATTATTACCAATGGATATATATTTCCATTCCTTTAACAAAAGCAACTTTAAGATGTTAAAACATGTAGGCTTTCCGAGCTCCAAGATTCAGATATAAATAAAATTGTCTCAGTCTACACCATGCCAGAGGAAAAGTTCTCAAAGGAAACGTCATTAAAGCCATGTATAGTCCCACTAGCCAATGAACATAGGACCCAGGAACACATCCAGGACAGAAGGACAGTGCCCTTGGGATACAGCTTGCAGAAGCAAGAAAAGCAGTCACATCTGGAGCCGATAACTCAAAAGGTGACTGTCTCCAACATCACCCTGAAAAAAACAACTCTTCACCGGCTCCACAGACAGCAACTTCAAATTCTTTTAACAATTTACAAGTTGAACACAGTTCAAATCTGCTGAAATCTTCATGACATAGAAGTTCATGTCTGACTTTTAAAATGTCTTGATTTCAAGAAGAGGCCATGAAATCCCTTGGAAATAGACTCTTGAGTGCCTCTTTCAAGCAGTATAAAATCTTCAAGATCACCTCAGGAGTTAAGTTTCTATGCGTATGTTCATTGTCATCAGCCTTGAGGATCACTTGGTTTCTCCTGGGTTAATGGGTTACCTATAAAGGAAGAAGAAAATATAGTCAACATTTCATAACATACCTATAACCTTAAAATTAAACGCAATTAAAAAGTAATAGGTAACCCAAAATGCTGGTGTTTGTTTTATCCAATACATTGCTTAATTTTAAAGAACTACCAGGTACAGGTATTTCCACCGTATAAAATTACACTAACTTTTTTTCTCATTATCATCTCATAATATTTTTAGAGTCACTTTGACATTTATCCAAATGACTACAGCTGTGACCAAAATTATCCCAACCGGTGACAACAATACCCCTCTCAAACCCAGAGTTACTGTGGAAAACTTTTTTTGCATAGACTTGGTGGCCATAACACAAATATCATAAACACATCACGCCAGGCCTCAGTGAAGACAGACTTTTGTTCCCAGCAAAAGAGACACATCTATTTCTCAATAACGCCCTTGGGGATTGGCTCCATAAAGTTCATTTTTGAAATAGTTTAAAAATTGAGAGCCTAGTTCTATTTTATTTTGGAAAAAAAAAATATCTGTTTAGGGGAGACAAAAAAATCTGGGGAGAGAAACAATAAAGAATAGAAAAAGGTACCAAATGTTAAAGGTGCCCCAAATTTTTCATAAAATTGATGATAATATACTATTAATTATATTTTAAATATTACTGAGAAATATTCATACTAATTTTTCACACCTACTGAAGTCCAAAGACCATTTGTGTACAGGAGAAAAGAATAATAAGCAGATAGAATATCTGATACATATATTCATATGTATATATGCATAGATATAAAGGAAAACACACAGGAAGAGGGAGAAGAAGAGAGGGAGAAGAGGGAAGAGAAAAAGAGATTTTGAGAGAGGGAGAGGATGGAGGGAGAAAGGGGAGATAAAAAGATTATTAACACAGCAGAAATCTCTCTCCCATTAGATTTAAATTTAAATTAGATTTAAATTTCTAATTCTAATCTAATATCAGCCAGGGTATTTAGAGAGTTGCCTAACAGTTATTTTCTAGCAATAGCTAAAACAAAAAGTAATTTCTAAAAACTATTGTCAAAACTTTGATTTTATTCCATTAAGTGACATTGTTATTTGCCCATCAAAAAACATTATAAAAGGCTCGTTTGTTTCATTGTTTTCTGATCAATTACTTTTAAAAATGAATATAGTTAAACAAAATAAAAAGCTAGCTCTAGACTTTGCTATGGCTAGTCTCAAATTATTCTACCAAAGGAAGATGCTGCAAAAGGCAAAAATATGTTTTCATGCATGGAGGCAGTCATCTTATTTCTGTCTCACTGTTCCGCTACCAGTCCCAAGGAAAGAGTTCTTTGCCTGTGCATTTGTTCTCTTTTTTGGCACTTCCCTTCTCTTTCTCTTTTTTTTTTTTTTTTGAAAGGTGAGAAGGAAAGAAAGAAAAAAAGGAGTGAAGGAGAGGAAGAAAGAGGAAGAAAAAGAGGGAGAGAGAACAGGAATATTGCTTTATTCTAAAAATGGGTATTAATAATGGCCGATCAATATTTTGTGTATTTAAAGGGGAGAATGTATATTTTGTGTATTTAAAGTGGAGAGCTCTATAAATATTTATTAAGTTTACTTGTTCTGGATCTGAGTTCAAGTCCTGGATATACTTATTAATTTTCTGTCTCGTTGAGTCTAAATCTCTTTATGGGTCTTATGTATCTGGGTGTTAGGATCGTTAGCTCTTATTGTTGCATTGATCCTTTTACCACTATATCTTTGTTGCTTTGAAATCTATTTTATCAGATGCGAGAATTGCAACTCCTGCTTTTTTTTTATTTATTTATTTTTGCTCTCCATTTGGTTGGTAAATCTTTCTCCATCCCTTTGTTTTGAGTCTTTGTGTATCTTTGGATGTGAAAAGGGTCTGGATGTAGCATACCATTGGGTTTTGGCTGTATCTTCACATACCTGTGCATTTGAAGTGTCTTAACTCCCATGCACAGAACCATGGAGGAAGTTGAACCGAGAATGGAGGCTGGGAAACATACAAAGAGCCTACTGAATCTTTGAGATTCGGGGAGCAGGAGATACCTTGGGCAGAGCAGCAATCTCATTATCAATTTGCGTGCCATTCAACAGTCATTGTGTATAATTTCTATGAAGGGTTTCCAAATTGAGAATGAACGTGGACCATATTTTCAAAACTAATGCTGAAAAGACAAGAAAAGAGAGGGGAAGGGGTGTGTGTGTGTGTGTGTGTGTGTGTGTGTGTGTGTGTAAAAGAAAAAGACAGGAAATTGAAACAGAGAGGGGGGAAAACTGAGAAAGAATAAATGGTTTTGCCTCTACTGTGACTCAGTGTAGCAAAATGGAAAAATATGGTAGAAATAAATTGGATGAACATGGTGCCATGACTCTATGAAAGCAAGTGACATGTCCTCTTGAGCCATTTCAAGCCCAGGTTCTAAGAAATCTATTAATGAGCATAACAGATGCATTCCTATGTCTTCATTTCAAGCTAAATATTTGACACTACTCGTTTTTATAAAGTTGAGAAATGATTCTCTCTATTATTTATATATAATTTTGAAAACAGACTTTGAAATTAACAGTACAATACAAAGGCTTATGAAACTAAAACAAATATTTTCTCCATTTCTGTAGAGAATATATGCATATATATATACAAAAACATAAACATATAAACATATATAAATAAGGATATAACCCATATCCTCAAAAACATAAACATACATTTTTATGATATCTATCAGCTGACACAATTGCTAGAGAAATAAAAATTATATATGACTAAGAAGTAATTGTCTAAATAACCATGGATTACAGTATAATTAAAGCAACCTATTCTCACACCTAAGTTTTACACAATATTCCTAGATTACTAATATTAAAAATATCCTAGAATATTTTATGAGATGAAGAATATGATATAAATCATTTATAAGATTAGATGAAAGTGGACAATCTAATACTTGACTTTTTTTTGATTACTAGATGTTGATCAAGAAGACACGTGGTGTTTTGGCATCAAGAGCTCTGCATTTAGGACAGAGTGGTAGTGTTGCCATAAAGATCAAGTATTGTAATATTTATGGAACACCTGGCTTTGTCAACACTGAACAACCATAAAAATAAAAGGTCTGGATTTTTGGTGGTTTTCTTTCTTTATTTTTTTCTTTTTTTTTTTTTTTTTTGCTTTTGAATGTATAAATCTTTAACAAGAGAGCCACTAAAAGTAGAATGAAAACAAATCACATTGTTAAATCAAGTTTAGCCTAAAGCTGCCTCTTTATGTATTTTAAATTCAGCCTGAAGATTTCTCTGTACATCATGAACTGTAACCTAAACAGAGGTGTAAACACACTGTGGCCTACTCTTATGTTAATCACTAAGTTTTGGCCAATCAAAGGTGGCCAACTGTTCAAACTGTGTTCAAATAAGGCAGATGCTGTGCTGTAACCAATCTACACCTCACTTCAATTTTCTGTATGTCACTTTCCTTTTTCTGTCTATAAATCTTCAACCAAATGTCTGAGCTAGAGTCTCTGAGCCTACTCCTGCTTGGGAGACATCCTGATTCACAAATTGTTCTTTGCTCAATTCAACTCTTAAATTTAATTTAGCTAAAGATTTTCTTTGAACAACACTAACAGACATTCACACAAGCTTAGAGAACTGCACTGAAGGAATTAAAGCCTAACTAATGACTCACCCTTTTCAACACAATATAAAGATGAACATGTATAAATATCTACCAGCATCCTCCCTGACAACCTCAAGGTTTGTACTAAACAAGATGAGAAAATCACAGGTTTAAAAATGTATAGGAAAATGATTCTGAATATATGTACATTATCACCAACTGAAAAAGCTTACTATGCAGGGTCCAAATACTATCTTTAAACAAAATTATTACCTAAAATTTAACAAAAATATCAACCTTTTAAGATGTATGCCTATTTTAAATAAATCTGAGTGACCCAAGTTTAAATTCTGGCACGCCAGTGGGGAGAACACATTTTAAATGTCATTTTACCTTTTGCAGACTCTAAACTGGAACATCCCGATATGCAAGATTTGCTTAAGCAATATTTACACAATCCAACATTTTAAAAAGTAAAAGTAATGGTTAATATACCAAAATAAGCATTACCACATTTTTACAACTTAAATAATCCTCTTTTATTCAAAAGTATTTTTTAGAAAGGCCAAGCATTAAGTTTTACCTTCTAAGGAGGACTTTTGGCAAGTTTTCAGTAACTAAAAGCAGGAGGTTGCAATAAAATCAGTTTTACACGATGGGAAATAGCGTTTGCTACCATGAATGCACAGTCTTCTTGTTCTAAGGGCAATAGCTGTAAAATACTGCATGAGGGAGAGAAATGGCCCTCCGATTGCTATGGTTATGCCTTGAGCTTCATGCGCTATAATCATTATCTCAGTAAATTTGCCTTTCCAAAGGCAGTATTTTACACAGCTGTTCTTTTCTACGCAAATCTTATTTGTGTGTGCCACATGCCAGCCAGTTTTGCAAGTGAAACTAGTGGGCTGCTGAACACATACAAAATGCAGAAATAATAATAATAGCTTCCCTATCACAAGCAGGAAACTACCCTGGGTAACAATCAACCAGGATGAAGATACTAATCTCGTAATATTAAGCAAAAAAAGTACTAATTATTTAGATCAGAGCACCCACTTATTCCAGGCCAACAGAACTATTATGGGGCCCTGATTAGATTTCTAAACAACTCATGCTAAAATCATGTCTTTAAGTCTGTTCAATTTAAATTGAGAAAATAAGACCTGGTTAATGACATATATTAGTTAAATTTGAAATTAGGTGAACTCATTTATACTGTTTTCATTTTATTGTTTGAGTATTGTAAAATTTCCTCTGCCAATCTATAAGTTAATTACAAAGCTGGAAGGCAATTCAAGAATCTATTCTATCCTTTTACAAAATTCTTAAATCTTAAAATTCTTACAATCATTATATTGAAGCCTAAAATTCCTTCTTATCCCAGT